TTTATATACCACATTAACAAAATTAAGGATAAAAATCATATGTCATATCAATAAATGTAGAAAAAGCATTTGACAAAATTCAACATTTATGAAAAACTCAACAAAGAGGGCTTAGAGGGAACATACCTCAGCATAATAAAGGTCATATATGACAGATCCACAGCTAACATATTCAACTAGAGGCCCAGTGTATGAAATTCATGCACAGGTGAGGTGCCTGGCCTGTGATCGGAGCCAATCAGGTTTCCTGCCTCCCTGCCTCCTCCTTCCCTTACCACCACCTCATGGTTCCCCACCTTCCCCCTCCTGCTTCCCGCGTCTGCTGCCGGTTCCCTGTCCCAGCCCAGGCCTGGCCCCGATCGGCAATCAGAACCTGCCAGTCTGGTGGAGGGAACAACCACCACCAAGGCGGGTGGCAGTGGGCTGATCGGTGCCTGCCGGCCAGGGGAAGAACAAGGGGAGGGACCCAGGAGGTTGGCTGCTGGCCCCAAGGAGGGAACCGGCCCTCGGCCCCCCCAGGAAAGGGGCCGTATCTGCTGCCACCAACCCCTGGTTCCCTGTCCCAGCCCCAGGGCCCAGCCACAATCAGGGCCTGCTGGCCAGGGGGACCAGAAGGCTGGCCAGTAGGCCCCATTGGCGATCGGGGCCTGTGGGCTGGGAGCAACTCTGCATTGAGTATCTGCCCCCTGATAGTCAGTGTGCATCATAGCGACCAGTTGTTCCAGTCATTCCGGTTGTTCCCGTCAAACAGTCGCTTAAGCTTTTATATATACTAGAATAGATGATGAAAAACAGAGAAAGCTCTTCTAAGATCAGGAACAAGGTTAGGATGCTCACGATCACTACTTTTATTCAACATGATAATGGAAGTCCTAGCCAGATCAATTAGGCAAGAAAAAATAAAAAATAATGGGCATCTAAATTGGATAAAAAGTAAAACTGTCACTATTTACAGATTACATGATATTATATATAGAAAACCCTAAAGACTCTATAAAAAAACTGTTAAAAATTAATAAATTAATTCAATAATGTTGTAGGTTACAAAATCAATACAAAAGAGTCTGTTGCATTTTTATACACTAATAATGAACTATATGATAGTGAAATTAAGAAAAAACATTTTGTTTATAATTTCATTAAAATAATACCTGGGAATAAATTTAACCAAACAGGTACAGACATAGATGCTGACAACTGCAAGATAGTAAGTAAAGAAATTTAAGAAGATGCACACAAAAAAATTGAAAGGTATTTTGTGCTCATGTGTTGGAAAAATTAACATTGTTAAAATTTCCAAACTGCCTAAAGCAAGCTACAGATTCAATGCAATCTTTATCAAACTTCCATTGTCATTTTTCACAGAAATAGAATAAAAACTCCAAAAAGTTATATGGAACCACAAAGGACACTCAATAGCCAAAGCAATGTTGATAAAGAAGTTTAATCATGGAGGTATCCCAACCTCTAATTTCATATTCTATTACAAAGCTATAGTAATTAAAACAGCATGGTTTTGGCATAAAAACAGACACATAACTCAATGGAAAAGAACTGAGAGTCCAGAAATAAACCCACAGAAAATTTATGGCAAAGAAGCCAAGAATATACAATGGGGAAAGGAAAGTCTTTCAATAAATAGTGTTGGGAAAGCTGAACAGCCACATAGAAAAATATGAATTGGGATCATTATGTTATATCACTTGCAAAAGTTAACTGAAAAATGGATTAAAGACTAGAACATAATATCTGAAAGCATAAAACTCTTAGAAGACTACATGTGGTTAACTCTTTGACGTAGGCATTGGCAATTATATTTTTAATTTAACACCAAAACTTAAAAGTAAAAATAAACAAGTGGGACTACATCAAACTAAAAATACTCTGCACGGCAAAGCAAGCAGTTGACAAAATAAAAATGCAACCTACTGAATGGGAGAAAATATTTGCAAATTATTTACCTCTAGGAGGTTAATATCCAAAATTCAAAGAACTCATACAACTCAGTAACCAAAAAAAATCCAATTTAAAAATGGGCAGAAGATATGAACAGACATTTTTCCAAAGATGGACAACAGGTACATGAAAAGATGATCAACATTATTAACCATAAAGGAAATGCAAATCAAAATCACAATGGGATATCACCTAACACATGTTAGAATGGCTATTATAAAAAAAAAGACAAGAAATCACAAGTGTTGGTGAAGGTGTGGAGAAAAGGGAACCCCTGAGCACTCTTGGTAGGAAAGTAAGTTGGGGTAGCCACTATTGAAAACAGTATGGAGATGCCTCAAAATTTTAAAAATAGAACCAGCATATGATCCAGCAATTCCACCTCTGGGTATTTATCTGACAAAAATGAAAAAACTAAATTGGAAAGATATGTATTCCATGTTCATTGCAGCATTGTTTACAGCTGCCAAGATACGGAAACAATCTAAGAGTCTGTTGATGGATAAATGTATAAAGAATTTGTGATATCTATATCTATGTATATCTACATCTACATATAAGAGAATAATATTCAGTCACACAAAAAATGAAACCTTGCTATTTGCTCCAATATGGATGGACCTCAAGGGCATTCATTATGCTAGGTGAAATAAGTCTAGACAGACAAAGACAAATGTGAAGTATAAAAAAAAGCTCATTGAAAGAGGCAGAAACAGGGTAGAGAATGGAAGAAAGGTGAAGGGGGTAAAAAAATCTTATCAAATATATATGTACTAAAGGCCAGATGCACGAAACTTGTGCAAGAGTGGGCCTTCCTTCCCTCGGCTGCTGGCACTGGCTTCCTGTGTCACCCAGGACCCGCCTTCCCTCGCAGCCCTGGCTTCGTCCAGAAGGTCATCTGGAAGGACATCTGGTCTAATTTGCATATTATGCTTTTATTATTATAGATTAAATGCATAAAAATTTGCTTTCCCCATCTTATGTGATATCTCAAATGATTATGATGCATTTTTAAAATAATAATTTATGGTTTAAGTGTATGAATGGCACCCATGACTTAAATAAAGGCTATATTATTAATTTTATAACTTGTTTGTATTTTAGGAATTTTTAAATGTTTAGTTATCTTTTTCCAAAACAACTTAAAAAGAGTGTTTGCCTAAACAGCTGAATAAGAATTGCCAAATCATCAGTACCATTGATTTCTTTACCAGAGTTTCTAAATGCGTATTGCATCTCATTCTTTGCCTTGCACTGGCATCCAATCACTATATAGAGAAACTGCCAAGTTATGGGACTGACACAGCATCTTCTTGCCTGGGACTGTATGTGAACACAAATTAAAGCTGTCCTTCAGCTTGGATTGCTGAAACACACCTGGCCCCATACTCCATTCTGTAATCTGGGATTGAAATCAATCTAAACCAACATACATTTGAGTGAAACTCTTTATGAATTGATCATGGATATACCTTATTGATTGTAACTAGAAAAATTGCATTATTATACAGTGGACCATCTTTTTAACTGACGCCATTTACAATTTCACATAAAATATCCCTATAATGTTATTCCATTAAAAACGCAACAAAGCACCATGAGTGTAAATTTATCAAAGTCACAGAAATTGTTCTACTCAGTAATCAGTCAGGAACTGAATATCCTGAACCAAACATTTAACTATAATTTGAATTTCTTTTTTCCCCCCAGACACTGCAAATGGATGTCAACAAGCTGAACATAACCTTGCTCCGAATATTCCGCCAGGGAGTGGCGGCTGCGTTAGGACTCTTACCCCAGCAAGTGCACATCAATCGCCTCATTGTAAGATGCCTCCATTTCACATTTCCAGAACAGGCTTTGATCTTTTTTGAAGGTCTCAATAATAAAGAACAATAATTTAAAACACCCATGCTATAGTTCTATGGCCCCTGAGCCAAATCTAGCATAGTGGTTTGGGTAAAGAAAGTTTTATTGCAATAAGCCACAGTCACTTGTTTACATATTGACTATGACTACTTTCATGTTACAGTGACAGAGCTGAGTCATTCTAACCAATTGTTTGGCTAAATCGAAGGTTAGAATACTTACTCTCTGGCCCTTGATAGAAAAAGTTTATCAACCCTTTCATAGTTCAAGGCTTGTACCCCGGTAGGTATGAATAGAGGGGCCCAACATACTAGTCTCACCAACCTGACATACACCCAAAACATTCTTCCTAAAAGTTAAGCCTTCTTTTTTTTGTATTTTGTTGGGGTTTTTTTGGTCTTTAATGGTTTACTTTTTTTTTATGCTTTTACTTTTTTAAAATATATTTTTATTGATTAAGATATTACATATGTGTCCTTATACCCACGTTACCCCATACCCCCCCTCTCATGTCCTTACCCCCCCGTTGTCCGTGTCCATTGGTTAGGCCTATATGCTAATGGTTTACTTTTATTAACACTATTCAGTTTTTAAAATATTAAATTGTTTTTGGTTTTTTTATGTTTGGTTACATTAAGGCCTTTTTTTATTGCTTAAAGTATTACAAAGGGTATTACATATGTGTCCTTTGTTTTTTCCCCGCCCTTGACAATCCCCTGGCCTCCCCAACCCCCCAGTGTCTTATGTCCATTGGTTATGCTTATATGCATGCATACAAGTCCTTCAGTTGATCTCTTACCCCCCTCCCTCCTGACCCCCAACCCTCCCCGGCCTTCCTGCTGCAGTTTGACAATCAGTTTGAGGCACCTCTGCCTCTGTAT